TCCATTTGTAACTAATAAAAAATGCTGATTTTTAAATTTTTAATTGTAGAAGAAGATAATAAGAAACAAAGTAGATTTAAAAATTGTTTCTATGCGTTTTTTGTTCAATTAGAACAAAATATAATGGACTATTTTTATTTGTGTATTTATTATTATTGAATTTTTTTTACTTTAAACTGAATATCTGATCAATAATGCATTGATAAACTAGCTCAACTCAATACCATAGCAACATGCCAGTAATTCTTATTCTTTTAATAAATTTCTTTATTTTATTTTTAATTTTAAAGAATTATCTCCGTGAATTGCTAAGAATTATGTTGCCTGATTTTTATTTGCATTTCTTGGGACAAGATTATGAAATGAGTTTGCTTTTTGTTCATCGATGGCTGGTTCTATGTTTCAAGCGTGAGTTCCTCTATCATGAGGTACTTAAGATATGGGAAGCGTGTTGGTCAAGGTATCAGACTGACTACTTTCACATATTTGTAAGTTATTCTTTCAATAATAAATTTCTTTTAAAGATAACTTAGAAGTGTTTAATTTATTTTATTATTTAGTTTATTTTCACTATTAAATATGGTACTTTTTTTGTAACTTTTTTTATTTTTATACTTTATATTTTAGGTTTGTGTTGCAATAGTGAAGCTTTATGGCTATTATTGCATAGAGCAAAAATTAAATTCTGATGAAATTTTGCAGTATTTTACAGAAATGGCAATGAAGTTTGATGGAGCTGCTACATTAAAAGAAGCACGTTTTTTTTTGTATAAATTTAGACAGATGGCTAAAATACCTTGCTCTTTAATTGGCTTGTTGTCGGGTAAAGGAGTCTGGGATGGAGGAATTTCTCCTGAAATTGAATGTGTTAGTCATCATAAAAAATGTTGTATACAAGTTGTACAAGATAATAAAATAGAAAATAAAGGTACTTTAGTTAATATTTTAATAAAAATACTCAAAGTTAAATAATAATATTTTTCAATTTACATTTATCTTTACGCACAAAGATTAAAATAATTTTTTGTGTTGGCCTCTAAATCTTAAATTATTAAAATAATTTTTTGTGTTGACCTCTAAATCTCAAAAACTCCTTATCTCATCTCCTAATGTTTTCCTGACTTATACAATTTATGGTTTTTTAAATTTTCTTTTATTTGCATTCTTTCTCTTCATTGCCAATCGTATTCTTTCTCTTCTTGTCAATTGCATTCATTCTCTTTATTGTCAATCATATTCATTCTCTTCATTGTTAATTGTAAAATGAATTGATGAAGAAAATCATTTTATTCATTGTCAATTGTATTCATTCTCTTTATTTTCAATCATATTTATTCTCTTCATTGTCAATTGTATTCATTCTTTTCATTGTCAATCATATTCATTCCCTTTTTTGTCAATCATATTATTTCACTTCATTGTCAATCATATTCATTATCTTCATTGTCAATTGTGTTCATTTTCTTCATCAACTCTTTTTTTTGTTTTCTTTTAACTCATAACTTATTGTTATTGTTATTGTTTTTGTGGTTGCTTGCAGTCTTGTTTGAAGTGAACTTATTTAAAAAAATAACTTTTAAATGTTGTGTTGATTTTCCTCTAGGATGTGTGTTTAATTTTCTTTCAACCAATAAATTAAAAAAACTTATTTTGTTAGATTTACCCACAAGCTGTGTGATCCATCAAATAGCCAGTTTGTAAATTCAAGAAACAAATCATTTTAATTTTTAATTCATCTGATTTCAACAACAGCTGTAAAATATAAGTTGAAAAACTTTTTATTGTTTAAAAAAAGCACCTAATACTACAATACACGAGACTTGAATAATCTTATATTATAAGAAATTTCAATTAGACTTTTTAATTCTATAATTATTAAAAAATTTAGAAATTAAGAGTTTAATTTTTATAATGCTTTTTTTAAATATATTTTTATTTTTACTTTTCTTGCCTTTGTAATATTAAGTTTTTTTTTTTTAACTTTTCTGTAATTTTATCTAAATATAGTTGATACAGATAATGCTAACAATACAGAAGAAAACATATCTTCTCAATTAACTTTAGAATTGACCGAGTTAAAAAACCAACCTGTAAAAATTGAAGATGTTGAAAAGAATGAAAATGAGGTACTTTGTCCTTAGCATAACTTTTAACTTGATTTTTAATATTTTGTTTTGCTATTTTATTTTGATGCATAATTTTTATTTTTATGTCGTTTTTAAAATATTATGTCGTTTAAGATATTCTATTTTGTTTTTAAATCCCAGCCAAGGATCTAAGATTTGATAAAGGTGTAAAGGTCTTTCTTATTTTTTTTATTTTTTTTTACAAAATAGTCATTTTAATGGAAAAATTTAAATAAATAGTTCGTTCGTAAACAATTCTACTTAAAAAAAATAAAGAAAAAATATTAAGACTTTGTTATTTTATACTGTTCTTGATTTTTTTCATGAACAATATTTCTTGGTATAACTTTTCTATTAAAACTTTATTTTTTATTTTTAACTTAGTATGAAGTATTTGATGAACAATTAAAGAACTTGTAAGACAAAACTGATAAAATGGTGTAGTAAATAAAATGGTATAGTAAATAGAAGAATGAGAACAAATCAATTATAAACAAATATCACTTTAAAACAAATTTTAAAATTATTTTAGTGTTATAAATGAAAATGGTTTGTTACAAGAAAAAAAAACAAGTCAAGTTTTTTCCAAAAAAATGCCAGTCAGTTAATTTATAGAACTACATATATATTACAATTAAATACAAATATTTTTAAAAACTGTTAATCAATAACTATAAAAACTCAAATATGGCTTTATAGTCTATTACTACCAAATATAAATACAAATCTAACTTGACCTCAATATATGTTGGTTTTACTACACACCTAAAACCTCACCAGCCTATGTGTGTGTGTGTGTGTGTGTGTGTGTGTGTGTGTGTGTGTGTGTGTGTGTGTGTGTGTGTGTGTGTGTGTGTGTGTGTGTGTGATTGAGTGTGTGTGTGTGTATTTATATTCATATATATATATATATATATATATATATATATATATATATATATATATATATATATATATATATATATATATATATATATATATATGTATATATATATATATATATATATATATATATATATATATATATATATATATATATATATATATATATATATATATATAAATTCTTTTTTTTTTTTAGATCACATAAAGTTCTAGATGGGTAAAAAGACTTAAATAAGTTTTCCATTTTCTGTGAAGAATACAATCAAGTCTATTATATTTATTATATTAGTGAATAAATTGATCAAAAAATTTTATGCTATTTATGTTGCGAATTATGCTTTAAGATTTAAACTTTAATTATTAACAGTGAAGCTCAAGTTGCAGTGTAAAAGCTAAGTATGTAACAATGTGTTAATTAAAATTTTTTTATATATAACTTATAGAATATATAGAGAGTAAGAATATGGTATGCTTAAAGCTTTGATTTCTTTTTAATAATAAAGAGAATAAACTATTGTTTCTTTTTTTAAAAAAAAGTTATTCTGTTTTTAGAAAAAGCACTTGGAAAGTTTTTTAATATAATTAAAATATTTATTAATGCACTGCATTTCTTAGTACATTCACTTTTATAAATTACTTATGAATTTTGAAAGATGAGTTCTTGATTTTTGTTGATATCTTGAATATTTATTTTTTTAATTTTCTTTTTAATTATTTTCTCTATTTTTGAAACATATAAAGGTTTTTACTTCTGAAAACCAATCAATAGTTTAAATCAATACCTATCTATATTTTATTTTATTTCTAAGTTGTCAGTACATTTTTTTATTTATATTTATTAAATTTGTAAAATCAATTTTTGTGTAATTTTATTTAATTTTTTTTTTAATGTATATAAATTAAATGTTATAGAGTAATGTTATTATTTGTAATAAATTCTGTTAAAACTAAAAACAATTTTGTTTTTATTTTAAAGCGTGCGCAACACAACTAAATTTAAGAAAATTTTTATTCTTTATTATTTGGATATACTATAATATAAGTATAAATAACTAATAGTTAGTTCTGGTCTGTTTATCATGTTACAGTATATTATTGCATGTCATAAACAACAACTAAAATAGACAAAGTTTACATTTTATAGTAATTTAAATAATCAGATTTTTATAAATCAAGTAAGTTTTTTCCAGTCAGTTCAAATTTTAACCAGTCATCTGTTTAGAACACTTTATTATAAAATTAATATTATTAATAGTAAAAAAACTCTACCAAAATTTATTAAAATTCTAAATAGTGTTCATAAAATTTGTAAATTTTGCCTTAAATATTTTAATGGTGTTGTTTGGAATCTAAAAAGCTATATTACTTGCAGCAGTAATTATGCAATATATTATTTAAAGTATTTATAGTTCAGCAACAATGTTGCTAACACTGGTAAAACAAGCAAGTTTAAAAAAACATATTTTTCTTGTAAAGCTGGTCGATAATCAGAAAGAATTAAACAGAACAGAAAGATTGAATTTTTCATTTCTGATGGAGAAAGTTTTTTTGTTACTAAGAAATTTGTTGTTACTAAGAAAAAATTGAAGAAAAAGTAGGACTTATTTTATTTCAAAAGGTAAATTAATTCAAAAAACAAGTGAACAGTTTTTTTGTTTTTAATGTGTATCTTTTAAGTATTATTCTTGTTTTTGTTTAAATTTCCTGCATGGTTAAACTTGTAGGGGTTCTAATATTTGGAGAAAAAGATTTAAAACATTTATGATTAATCAAGTATGGTTTAAAATCAAAAATCTTCACAATGATTTCTAAACGGTAGGTTTTTTTTTTGTTTGGTTTACTTGGTTTTTTTAATTTGGTTTTTTCAAAAAAGTTTGGTTTACTTATCTTTTAGAAAGTTTATTTTTAAGAGAAAAATTTTAAATAAAAAAATTTAGCTTTTAAAAAAACAAAACTTAATGATTAAAAATTAAAAAAACATTGTTTTCTAAAAAGTTTTGAATTATCAATAGAAATACAAAAAAAAAAAAAAAAAAAATTTGATTCACTTTTTTAATTATGAAAATTTAATAATTTATTCAAGTTTAAAATATTGTTTATGTTTTTCCATAGCAACATTCAGTTGCTAATATGGTGATATATGTCTATATGAAAACAGTAGGATGTTTTAACATGTATTTAGTTTCTTTTTTGCAAAGTTGCTTATAATAAGAGTTTTATTTGAAACTTAAAACTCATATGGTTTATCACTTAATGTATGTTTGAAGTTTCTTTTTTTTAATTTTTGTTTAGTGTAATATTTTTAGTTTCATAATCTTTTCAAATAAATAGTAAAGCAAAAATTAAAAAGTTTTCAAAACATGTCCATAAAATTAAATAAAAATGTAAATAAAAAAGTTTATAAAATTTATTTAGTGCATCGTTAAAAAAATAATTTTAAAAAATATGCAAGAAATCAACAAAGTTTTAAAAGATTAATTTAGAATTAAATTTTTGACAACCTGCCAAGCTTGTCTCAAACTACAGTTAGTAGTTTTTAAATGTCATTTTATTTAAATGAATTTTTTAAACTTATTTATTTATACTTTAATTCTATTTTAAAGATATGTTTTAAAACTGTTTTTAAAAACTTGCTGCTTATCTATAATTGTGTTACTCTTAGATGTCTACTTCTCCATTAACAAATTCAAACAATGGTTTTGGTTCAAGATTTAATGGCCATCCTAAAGATTCTATAGCTTTACCACAAAAAAATGTGAACTCCCAACTAATGCAGGCAGGGAATTTTCCAAGTAAAATGATTCTTGATGATTTGTTGCTTTCTCAAGGTTCTCTTAGAAATGAAGTGATGAGAAATGATGAAACTCTTCAGGCTGTTCGCCAAGAAAATATCATGCTTGCTGAAAAAGTTCAACATGCCACAAATCTTTATCGACAATTACTTAGTAAGAATTTTATTCAAAACTTTATATATCATTAAACAAAAATAAATAAATAAATTTTGTTCTTCTAATGTTTATTACATATTATTATTATATATATATATATATATATATATATATATATATATATATATATATATATATATATATATATATATATATATATATATATATATATATATATATATATATATATATGTATATATATATATATATATATATATATGTATATATATATATATATATATATATATATATATATATATATATATATATATATATATATATGTATATATATATATATATATATATATATATATATATATATATATATATATATGTATATATATATATATATATATATATATATATATATATATATATATATATATATATATATATATATATATATATATATATATATATATATATATATATATATATATATATATATATATATATATATATATATAAATGTATATATATAAATGTATATATATAGATACACATATATGCATACATACATACATACATACATACATTCATACATACATTCATACATACATACATACATACATACATACATACATACATACATACATACATACATACATACATACATACATACATACATACATACATACATACATGCATACATAAATACATACATACATACATACATACATACATACATACATACATACATACATACATGCATACATAAATACATACATACATACATACATACATACATACATACATACATACATACATACATACATACATACATACATACATACATGGATGTTTAATATTTAATAAATTTTTCAAATATAGCAAGAGTTTCAAAAACAGAAGAACGTATGGCATTAGAATCAAACTCTATATCATCTGTTGTCAATCAAGCCAAGCAAGTAGAAGTTTTGTTAACATCACAACATGAACAAATGGTTACTCGTGAACAGAAACTTGTTATGCAAGTACAAAGGTTACAAGAAGAGGTTAAGCATTGACGTTAAAGTTTTAAAAAATTAGTTAAATAAGTCAAGTCTTCTTTATTAGTTTACATTGGAAATTTAAACGAAGGTTACAAGAAGAGGTTAAGCATTGACGTTAAAGTTTTAAAAAATTAGTTAAATAAGTCAAGTCTACTTTATTAGTTTACATTGGAAATTTAAAAAGAATTAAATTGATAGAAAAAAACTAATAATTAGAATCTAAATATTAATTAATTGGCTTCAAACATTTTAATGAAATTTAAGTGTTTGTTAAATTTTTATGAAAATCAGGTATCAATTTTGAAGATAGAGCGTGAAACGTCTCAAAAATCTGTTCAAAATATGAGTCAAGAAATTCGTATGATTAGTGAAAAGCTTTCGCGTCAAAGCGTATCATTAGGAACAGGATTACAAGACCTTAAAGCATATTTGGATAATAAAGAACAAGAAAGAAAGCATGAGGTACTTTTTACAATCTTTAAGCTTATATTATTTATTTTCAAAACTTTTTCAATTTTGAGTTTTGCAAATGTTGCTTAACACAGTTATTACATTATTTTTATTTATCAATACAATCAAATCCTACTCTGTGGAGTTTCTGATTGTATTCACATGTGCAAATTTTCTTAGATATCATTTATCGAATTTAACACAAAAAAACTATATCTGGTAACAAAATGTGTATTGTGACTTATTTATATATATTTTTTTAAGATTGATGTCAAAATAAGCGAGTTAAATGAGCGATTAAATGATGAGTGTAATAAACGAGCTGTTTTTCAAACTCAAACAGAAGGAAGGTCTGTTTTCATTTTTTAATTAATTTTTTGAATTGAATTACTATCCTTTTTGAGAGAACTTTTTTTAATTTACATTGCTCCTAAACATATTGTTTTTTAATTTACATTGTTCTTAAACATGTCGCTTTTTTAGTTTACATTGTGCTTATACATGTAACTTTTTTAATTTAAATAGTTTTTAAACATATTGCTTTTAGATTTGAGACTACTCATCTTCAAATGAATCATAATGAAAAGTCGCGCAACGATGATGTTTATAAGTTAGCAACTTTGGTTAGAGAAAAAGAGGCTTTGTCAAAATCTGAGGTGCGATCATTGCAAGATAAGCTTAAAGAAATGATAGAGGATTTTGGTAAAATTCAATCACACAAAGACCATCAACTGCGAAATGAAATTGAAATTAAATTAGCTGAATTAGATAGGGTAAATTATAATTATATGTTATAATTTGACAAAAGTTTTAATCATAGTCAAAAATCAGCTATTTGTAGAATTTAAGTTTTTAGATTAGGTGAAAAGCTGAAAAAGCTTTTAGCTTTAAAATTTTAGCTTTTAATTTTCCTCATTTAAATTACAGATTTAAAAGTTTAAAATGCAGATCAAAAATATAAAATACAGACTCATTAAACTTTATAAAAATTATCTAAGGCTAATGTTTATTTATGCTATTTGAATAAGTTTCCAAGTATTTTTTAACAGTCTTTACTTTTCCCTTTTTATTTTTTACATTTTATTTTTTACTCTTATATTTAAAATAGTTTTGAACTTTGAACTTTTTCATTTTATATAATTTATGATATATTTCATATATATTTTTAGTTTAAGTTTTTTTATAAATTTTCAAAGTTCTAGAAAATTTGTTTACTTAAAAAATTTATTTCATGAACTTAGATTTCAAAAACATTTTTTTTAAATTAGAAAATAAGATCAGAAGCAAAGCAGATGATTGATCAGTACAAAGACTACCATGAGGAAGCTTCAGTAATGATTCGTGAAATTAAAGAATTTATAACAGAAGAAACTGAAAGAATAGCTGCAAAATTACAGGTAAGATTTTATTTTTTAACCCTTTAATTTAAAAAAGCATTCATAAATCATTTGTTTTTTTATAATAAAACAACACTTGGCACATTAATATATTTGTAGAATAATGGATACACAGATCAAATCAATGAAATAAAAGCATCAATAAAAACGCTTGAAAAAGAGGTCAATCAAAATAAAAAGGAAATTGAAAAAGTTGTTCGTGCTGAAATATCATCAAGGTTTTTACATAAATTTTTTGAATTTTTTTTGTTTTGTTTGTGTATATATCATGTGCTCCAAGAATGCTTAGTCATAGATTTCTGCTATTTACTTATTTATATTTATTTACTTATTTACATTATATTTATTTACTTATTTATATTATAATATATTTATTTACTCATTTTTATTATTTTATATTTATATACTTATTATTTATATTATATTATTACTCATCTCATTTGAGTTCGGAGTCCTTTTAAAAATAAGATTTTAATATATATATAATATAATCTTCTTTTTTTTTTACATTTTATACTTTTTTGCTTTATATTATAATTTTTACTTTGTTATTTTTAAAGTTTAATGTCCTCTTGTTTGTTTTGGATGGGTTTCCATTTTCTTATTCAATAATAATTATTATTATTTCATTTATTTAACACCTAATGTGATTTACAAGGTAAATTTAATGGCACTATGTAGGAATCTTTTGACAACTTGCTGCTTTTATTGGCATTAATTTATTTTTCAGATCAGGACTAAGTATTTTTGTTGCAATCACCAAAAAAAATGTTTTTTTTATTAAAATTTTTAAAATTCTTTTATCACAAATAGACTTTCACAAGGAGAAAAGCTCACTCATATGGTGACTCTGATCAGAAAAGATACAAATGATGGTTTATCATACATGCATCAAACCTTGAGTGAAAATAAAAAAAAAATAGACAATGCTGAGGAAACAGTAAGTTAAGATTTTAAATATAAAGATTTATATAGGTTAACATGTGATCATCAGCTCTAATCACTTTTTCATTTAGATTAGAAAAGATGTTGCGCGCTTGGTTAATGACTCCTTATCAAGTATGAATGCAAAAGCAGAACTCCATCACATCAGAGATATTCAAAAGAAAATTGAAGATATTGAAGATGCTTTAGATGATGTAGTGAAACAGGTAAGTTTTTATTTATTAAAAGTTGTATCTTACAACTTCTATAAAAATACAAGACAACATTGTTGCTTGGCAACAATTTTGTTTTGTGTTTTTAAAAATTTTTATAAGCATCTTAATTAGTGTATTCAGGTTTACATTAAAATAATTTAGCATATATCATTTTTTCCTTGGGAATGAATATTTATATATTTAATTTACTATTTTATTACTAGTATTTTTATTTTAATTTTTTGTTACCATATTTTTAAATCTGTAATTAACATGGTTCACAAACACCTTCTACCATACATGCAATAAGTTTGTGGGTTTTATGTCAAAGCTTTTTTTTTCTCAAGGTAAGTTGCCTTCAATATGGCTAAGAAAGCTAACCTGTTTTGTATGAAGTGGGTTAAACTAGATTACATACTGCCAATAGCAGAGTCACTTGACTAAAGTAAAAAAATTAGAATATAAAATGGGTTTGAAATTAGAAAAAAAAAAATTAGAATAAAAAATAATTTGAATAAATAAATAAAAATCTTAAGATAGTTAGGGTTTTAAATTGACATGATTAATAAATTACATCATTCTTTTCAAATAAACAAAAGCAAAAAATTATAATTATAAATTTAAGATAAAATTTGTTAATCGATTTACAATCGGTTTGATTGTGTGCTAAAATCTTGATCTAGGAGGAGCATATTGAAATGAATAGCGAGCGTATCAAACAAATGGAGATGGAAAATATTTTAGCACAAGGAGATATAAATTCTGCTATTGATTCAAACAAACAGCAAATTCTAAGTCTTTTAAAACAAAACAATGAAGTCGTGGATCAGGTATAACAAATTTTTTGAGAATTTAATTTTATTGTTGATCTATTTTTTATTAACCTCAAATGTAATAATAATATCAAGCTTATAAATAATACAGTTGTTTATTTAATGTTGCTATAATTATTTTGACTTTTACTATTGATATTGATTAATAACAATAATGAGTTGGTTAAAAGGTAATGAGCAATTTTTTAAAAAATCCCTCTGAAAGTTTTAAGTGCTTTGAAAAGTTTCCATGAGTTGAATATTTATAGGGCATTAAGCGGCTTATCAGGTCATTTAAAATATCTGGATTGCAACTTTTGTATATTGCAAAAAATGAATGACATTAATAGTCATGTTCGTACATGACTATTAATGTCATTCATTTTTTGCCTGCTTTATAATTTTAGTTGGGCCGCAGTTTTTAGTGTTTTAGTGGGTTATTATTAGAGGCAACAACAAAGTAATGTTTTCAACACTTTTGTAACAATTACTTAACATTCCAAGTTGGACCCATCTCTAGCAGACCAATCGAATTGAATTTGGAACATTTAAAGCTGCTAATTAAAAGCAGTCTATGATAACGATGTGCCGCTTAGCAAGCAAATTTGAATGCGTTTATGGTATTATAAAATCCTACATGCATGAAATGGAAAAGAACTCTATATTTGGTGTTTGGATACATGAACTAAGTTTGGTGTTTGGATACATAAGCTAAACATTAGGCAGCTAGGTTAGCAAGCAGACACTTGCATGAACTTCATGTCTTTGCACCGCATGTTCAACTAACTTGAACATGTCATTATCAGAGATAAAAGTAGATAATTTTGTGTACCACTCCAGAAAGCGCTAGTGGCTATGGCTGGAACAATCCCTGAAATCAAATCTGAAAGTTGCTCTACACCCAACTGAAACACAAGGTGTTGCTTTTGGTTTGATGAGGTGTGTGCAGCATTGTGTTCTCAAAACTGGTTTCATCAAACACCGGAATTACTACAGCAACTTACTGTGCTTAATGACAAAATATATTTTTCCTCTATGACAATACTTTTACCCACTTTGAAAAATTGACAAAGCAAAAAATTTTGGGGCTTGGCTTGGAATAATGGAACTAAAAATAAGTAATATTTTTTAAAAAACAATCATTACGTTTTAAGCAATCCAGTATTGCAACATCTATTTTGACAAAATGCATTTATATAAATTTCTTAGTTTTGTCAAAATTGATGTCTTTTTTTGGTTATTTACAGTTATCTCTATAGAGCTTGAAGAATATATTAAAAAATTTATGTTTTGTTTTTAAACATTTTTCTTTAGCTTTTTTGACTCAATTTGAATTTTTTCATTATTTATTTGGTTCCTTGATTTGTGCTTATTCATTTTTTGAAAATCAATCAAGTTGGTTTGATTTTCGGCTTCAGCATTGTCTCGTTAATTAATTTTCGTGTTGAATGGCGGTTTTAGGGTTGCCTTTTTAATACATTTTTCTGTCATTTTAGCTGTTGGTGTAATCTTTGTTGATGACTTGAGCTTAAGATTAGATATACGCTTTTTTTGCTGTTTTGTTGTTTTCATGAACATTATAATGTTTCGCTTTGTTTTTCAGATTAAATCAGTTGAGAAAAAGCTACATTATCTTGCAGAAACTTTCCAAAATTTTAAAGAAAAAAATGGCAGTATAAATAGGTATTTAAATTTATTGTTGTTTTAAACTTTTTTTTTTCTAATTAGGTTTTCTAATTATTGATTTTGTCATGGTTATTTAATTTATTTGTAATATATAAATTTATTAAAAAGTATATTAATTGTAATAAGTAAAATTCCGCTTTTTTTTTTTTTTTTTTTTTTTTGAGTTCATGCATTTGCATAAAATATTTTTTTTTTTTTTTATGTTTACTTTCTTGCTTAACACAAACACTTACATAATAAACATAAACAAAAATAATTTTATCAATTTTTAACAGATTGTAAAAATTGATAAAATTAACAATATCTAAATTTCATAGTACACCCATCAATTGATGGGTGTACTATGAAATTTAGATATTTTTGGTTTTATCAATTTTTTTCTTTTAGACCTTCAAAACCTGTTCTCACTCCACGTGCACCTCAAAACAATAATGAGGTATATTTCAAATAATAACTAACAAGCTAATAATTAATTAATGTTATACTTTTAAGTATTCATAATAAATATTTTTATTTATTTATATTTATTATTTATATTCATAATAAGTATGAATTAAAAGCTAATATTAGTAGAGAATAGAGGCAATATTAGTAAAGAATCTTAGATTTATTTAAAAACTAAATTAGTTATTAATTTTTTATTTAACTTTTTTATGATTTTAAAATTTAACTGTATTATTCAGTTACAATTATGATTTTATTTAAGAGAAACAATTTGATAAATGTGACTATCCAGTAGGCACCAGGCGTATTTTTATTGTCTAAAAGTATGTATTAATACGTTTTAGACTGTTTTACGTGTTTTAGACGTCTTAAACACGTCTTGTGCCCACATTGTTAGTAATTAAGTAAAGATAACTAGTAACTAAATAAAGATATATAGTAACTAAGTAAAAATAATTAGTAACTATGTATATGCTAGTAGAAATTAAAAGAGTTCTAATATGTAAATGATAGTAGTAATTAGATAAAAAGTTGTAACTAAGCAAAATATTGTAGCTAAGTAAGCAGCTGTCTGCTATATCTATATTTTATATCTATATCTTTATTCTACTATTTCTATTCTGGTAACTTCTATTTATATATATATATATATATATATATATATATATATATATATATATATATATATATATATATATATATATATATATATATATATATATATATATATATATATATATATTTATATATATATATATATATATATATATGTATATATATATATATATATATATATAATTATCATTGTGCATTTTTTCACACTCAATACTCTTTACGAGCTTTTACACTCGTATGAATTCGTTTTTAAATTTATTTATTTCATATTCACATATATTCTATAGCACAAACATATAAATAGTATAAAGTTTAGACTTAAAATGGTTATAATAAACTTATTATAATAAAACAAAACCAATGTCTTTATTATAAAAAAAATAAGGAACGATTATTAAGAATGCGTGTGCATGAAATTATCGGAACTGTGAAGACGACTATTAACTCAATACTTTTACTTTGTGACTTAGCGCGTTTTGCTTATTTCATAAACGTTTAAATATTAAAAAGCTTTCAAAGTTATGTTTGTATACGATTAAAATTGTTTACATTTGAGTTACAATTGTACTAAATTCAAAAAGTTTAGTTAAAACTTTTCGATCTGAAACTTTTCAAATTTATATGGTTCAAACTTATGTTTATTCGATCTTCTCAAGTTTTTATTGTTTTGCGAATAAAATATTTATTTTTAAACTTGTAAAAATTATGAAAACATTTATTGTGTAGTTAAATGAACAAATCAATGACATCAGTAGAGTTGTGGATGTACTTACAGATGTGCTTTCACAGATTATCGACGCAGAATATGAAGAGGTGCGTTAGGCTTCGCTTTCCAAAACTTTTAAGCTTTTAAATATTATAATAGACAGGTTACAGGTTAACTTGATTTTTTTCTAGAATAAAAATGACAAACAACTGGAGGAGTTGAAAGAAAAACTAGATAAACTGAAAGACGAGGGTGATGGCAGCGAAGATGATGAGCCAATTCATGTATGGAAGCAAAGTGACGACGACGAAAAACAAAGTGAATTAGAAGATGACGAGTCTAAAATTATTCAATCCCCAAAAAAGAAAAAACTTGAATCTAAAAAAAAGAAACCATCTGATGAAGCGAACGATGACGGTAAAGTTGTTCTACATTTATTACTGTAAATTTTCCATTTTAATTCATGTACTTGATTGTATTTTTGAAATTGTCTTTTTTTATTTATTTTTTTAGATTGGTCTGACAACTAAACTCCAAATCGATAAGTGCAGTTAATAAATTGCCAAGTTCAACTCGTAAACTGTAAAGTACAACTAGTAAATTATATTAACATAACTTCATCTTCCAAACTCAACTAAATTACGTTCATTTATTTATAAATTAAATAAGTGTAGCAACATGTTTTATTTTACGAAATCATTAGATATATTATTATGATTATATCGTTATAAAAAATAACGTTTTTGATTTTGTTTAAGTTTTGTGACAAGTGCAAAACAATGCTCTTGCAGCGTTTTTTACGCGTTTTATTGTTTTATTTTTTTTTTCATATATATATATATATATATATATATATATATATATATAGAGAGAGAGAGAGAGAGAGAGAGAGAGAGAGAGATAATACTATTTGAAAATGAATCGGGTTCGCAGTTTCGCAGTTCGCAATATAATGGCTTCGATCTAACAAACTGTCTCTGAATACTAGTAAAACCGAAATTATCATCTTTAAATCAAAACAATCTAAAATCAGTAAACACCTAAACTTTAGGCTGAGTGGTCAAAAAATCAATCCAGTTATGTACCTAAAGTATCTTGGAATCAAAATTGACTCAAATTTAACTTTTTCTCATCATCTTAAGGACTTGTCAATAAAACTATGTAGATCGAATGGAATGTTAGCTAAAATTCGTCATTATGTCAATCTTGAAACGCTTATCAATATATACCATGCCATTTTTGGATCACATCTTGGTATGCGTGTCAAGTTTGGGGACAAATCCGCACCCAAGAAATTTTAAGATTATCCAACTTACAAAACAAAGCATTAAAAATAATATATTTTCAGCATTATCAATCTAACTCCGATTATCTTTATTTTTTATCCAAAATAATCAAAATTGATGATCTAGTTCAACTATTAAATTGCCATTTTGTCTTTAATTATAAACAAAAATGTCTACCCAGCACATTTACAAATTTTTTTACTGTTAGAGAAAGCTGTCGCTATCATCTACGATCTGCTAATAGCTATAATCTTCATGTACCAAATCATTCTTCTGTAAAATATGGTCTAAAATCCATAAAATACCAAAGTGTAAAATCATGGAACAGTCTACCTTCACCATTAAAATCAATTGACTCTATTACTAATTTCAAAAACTGTCTTTTTAACTATTTTTTAGCAAGATATTATACCTGAAGACTCTGAAATATGTTGTTATGCTTTTATTATTACTACTTTCTTGATACCTACTAGTTTTATTATTAACTTTTTGTTCTCATATTTTTATTGTTATTATTAGTATTGATATTAATAATATTCTTCTATCTTTATTAGTAAATTGTTATTTTTATTTATAACATAATAAGTATTATTATTGCTTTTTTAATTTTTTCTTAAGTTTATTTACTACTTATACTATGTAATTGTTATTACCACTATTATTGCTATTATCTAATATTGATTGTATAATATCTTTATTATTATTGTTAGTATTATTACTAATAATATTCCTTTTCATCGTCATCTTATTATTATTGTTAATATTATTTCTATAATTATTATCAATACTATTATTATTGTTATTATAATCACTTTTATTGTAATGTTGCAGGTTTTTACTTTAGATTAGTACTTGTACTATTTGTAAAAGTCCTTGAAATTTTACAACTTATTTCAGGATATATTGAATTGAATTGAATTGAAAAATTGTTGTACAAAATGCCCAAAAATTACTTTTGAAAATACCTGTGTGAGTTGAAGAGTACATGGCCGCTAGATTACTGGGAAACAAAAATTGAAATCAAACTTTTTACAGCAGTGACATTGAAGTTTGAATATAAAAGATAATGATTTTACTTTTTAAAAAGTAAATATTAGATGAAGAAACTTGCTTCTACTAGTAATCAAGTCTAAAGTAACAAATTAGTGGAATCCAATTTTGCAGCCAAGTTACAAGATTTCTTCACACAAACATCTATCATATCCTTAACTGACAATGCGCAGTTAGAAACAGAACATGTGGTTGTCTATTGCAAGAACTTCGATGTATATCTTGAATGAAACTCTGCATTGCAAAAAAGTCTATAAAGATCACTGTAAAAGTTGGCATTGATGGAAAAAGTGGTTCTTTAAAATTCTTACTTGGTATCATTTGCACTAGCCCTGATGATGGAAAATCTACTCCTTCAAAGCGATTCCTCACACAAAACCATTCTAAAGAAGTGCAAAATCACAGATTCTTTTGACAGTTTTTAACAATTTGTGAAAACCTGTTCGAAAACTACAATAACGTAAAAAAAGTGTGGTCACTACTTGCCATCCAGGATGTCAAATTTTTCTTTGGTTATGATCTGAAGCTGGCAAATATTCTTCTTAGCTTGTAATCCCATTCAAGTGCTCACCCATGCGCCTGGTGTGATGTAGACTACAAATTTTTACAAACTTCAAGCATCATACCAATATACCGGTTCTAACTTCAAGCATCATACCGATTTGGTGGTTCTGGTGGTAATGTCTTTAACGGCAAAAACTTTGGAAATGTAATGTATCCTTTATTTCTTTCCTACCCGAATGAGATGCTTGTTGTGATACCACCGATGGAACTTCATCTTCTTCTTGGGTTTGTGAATCATTTGTTTAAGCAAGTGAGAGAAGTTTGTCTAAAAGCAAACCAATGGGCTACAGCACTTCACATCCGCCAAGAGTCATACTATGGTGGTTAGTTCTCTCGAAATTCTTGACACAATTTATCAAGATGGTGGATTTATTGCAACAGATGGCTGAAAGTGATGCAGCTTTTCGATTTTTTTGGATAATTGACGCTTTCAGAAAATTTGAGGCTGGTGTGGCATCATGCTTGGATAACCACCATACTGATGATTTTGGAGAAAAGATTGACCAATTTGAGAACTCATATATCGCTCTGGAAATTGGAACAGTCGCTCCCAAATGTTCATGCTGTTTTTAACCTATTTTAAAAATTATATGGAAAGCTGAGAGTTTTATAAAATAAATCTTGAAGAATTAACTTTTTCACATTAATATTAAGCAATTATTAGCCTTATTTTTTACATGTACAGTAAAAATGTGTATAATTTTTGAAAACGTGTCTTTTCATTTTTCCACTTCATCCATAGCTTGATGCTCTTAAGCGCCTCAAAATAATTAAAAACCTTGTCCTTGTTCATGCTCTGATAGCAAATACCCTCAAAAACTCTTAATCGAAGAGTTGAACATCTTTTTATCACTAAAGACCACTATTCTTTGATGGTAGACTTATCTTGAATGGCTTACTTTGCTTTATTGAAATATTTCCTACATATTTTCTGAATTAACGCCTTCAATAGAAGCTCATTTTATCGCATACTTAACTAACTTGAGCTCATCTTTACTTCAGAATTTTGTAGAATGCTCTGGGCATGCACCCATCAAAGTTTTTTCATTGAAACAATTTTGCAATGTGCGTCGTGCAGCTTTATATGTCTTGAATGCAGTATGCTGAGTCGTTCTTTTTTCTTTGGCTACTGTAACTGCTTCCACCACATGGCTTTCCAATATTTTTAAAACTTTAATTTATTTTTTTTTTAAATTTTTTAAAATTATTTAATATTTTTAAAACTTTAATACAGGTTAAGATTTAATTTTTTTTTGTTTGAGTTTTTTGCAGCATAATTCCTGTAGACTTGTATAAGGTTGGGCTGAGTTTGTCTGATTTGCTTAGAAAGTTTAAGTTTTAAAAAAATGGTTCTATTTTTATATTGGTGTGTACTTTTGTCCATTGGTCATTCCAATCAAAATTCACATTGAGCATGTTACCAAGGTATTTGTGGCTATTGACTACCTCAAGCTCGTTGTTATTGAGAACGAGAAAAGATATAACTACGAGATATAGTACGAGAAAAGATATAAATTTTGGAGCATCTGGGATTAATTAATGTTTTTAGATTTTGAGCTATCAAGTTTCATTCTATTTTTTTTTTTTTTTTTTTTTTTTGTATGTATTTAGTTGCTCCCAGAAGTCCTTGCGGTCTTATCATAAAGCACCGCGGGAGAGCATTTAACAGGAAGTTCACGCCTCCTTCCGTACCAATGTCGCTTATTGGGCTAGAGCTGGCGTTGAACCTCGGACCTCTGGATTCTGAGCCAGAACTCTAACCACTGCGCCACGGCTGCTCATATTGACCGCAGACCATTGTGTGACGCTATCTACAATGAATTGAGATAAGTTGGCATGAACTTTATTATAAATTATTTAAGTCAGGATGTCGTCAGCATATTTTTAGAGAATGTTTTCATGCGTTATATCAGAAATAAAGAGAGTAAACAGAATTGGACCAAGAACACTACCTTAAAGTACACTGGCTTCAGTAGATTTCCAGTCAATGGTGGGATCATTTGTCTATTTCTTAGGAGACGGTTAGATAAGTAAGCTGCAATCGAATTAAGCCAGCTATGTAGAGTATTTATGACCATTGTAATTTGTCGTGACTAAAAAGATCAAATGCTTTTGCAAAATTTAGAATTTTACAAAAATTGATTTTTCATTATCTTTAGCATAACTCCAGTCCTCTATAATTTGAATAATAGCGTTCATTGTACAACTTAATAATAGCATCAATTGTATAACTTTCTGAAAGCAAAACAAACTATGCGTTTGGGACCCTTACGTGCTTGGTGTAATCAAGGACGTTTGATGCCTTTTTATTCCATACGATTCAAAGTTTTAAGCGTCATTTTTTGAAATAATTTTACAAAATAAATCGACATTTAACCAATATTTTTGCTTTTCTAACTTCTTTTAGTAAACGTTTTATTATTCACAAAACACTCATTTATGAGAAGTATAATTAATTTTATGTAATTAATAATGTCTCAAGTGTTTGAAAATATTTTAATTGATATGCAATTTTTGCTTTATAGTAACTTATTTGTAAAAAACCTTTGACGTTTAAAATGATGTCTTTGTAAAAATGCAATATGATATACTAACATGAAAATTGTAAAGAATATAAATAAGTGCACCAATAGCTTAGATGGAAGAAAATAAGTAATACTAAATTAATATTAGAATATTTTTTGAGAACATAATGACGTATTAATGACAACATACTACTGGCACGTGAGAGTTATTTAATTGCGTTAGTTGATTCTACCATGATAGGTTTTTGTAAAGAGTTTTGCCTCGAGATATTATATATATTTAGATGGGAAAAGTCTTGTAATTTTTGTTAATTTTAATTTGCACATTATCATTAGCAAACTATTTTTTTGAGAGTGAAAAATAAAATGTGAAAA